AATCATCAATCAATCTGATATATATATGACCATGGGGGCAAAGAGTATTATTAAGAACATAAAGAGACTTAACCATTTGTTCAGTAAATGGTTTCTTCTTCACAGATTCAAAGGCTATTGTTTGTGTATTTGTCTTTAGTAGTACAGAGAAGAAGAGAATTCGGAGACGACACTGAAAAACTAATCAATTTTTTTTTTTTTTTATAACTCAACAACTACTCTTCATTAGACCAAATCAAATTCTTACAAGATGGTCAAAAGACCTTCATACACGAAACTAACCACATAGCACAATAGAATACAGCTTAGAAACAAAGAACATATATATATAATAGTCTTCTTCACTATTCTATATGGGGAGTTCGACCAAAAAAAGCACGAAATTTGCACGAATTGCCAAAAAAAACATGAACTCTTAGGCTGACCAAAAAAACACAAAAATTTCATTGACTTTAGAATTAAATAACAAAGTTTCCAACAATTTTAACAGAAAAAATTGATGTGTCGTTAAGTGAGAAACGACATCGTTCGTTTTACATGAATTTGAAAAACAAATCCAGAAAATAATTAAATATATTTTTGAGTTTAATCATCAATCAATCTGATATATATATGACCATGGGGGCAAAGAGTATTATTAAGAACATAAAGAGACTTAACCATTTGTTCACTAAATGGTTTCTTCTTCACAGATTCAAAGGCTATTGTTTGTGTATTTGTCTTTAGTAGTACAGAGAAGAAGAGAATTCGGAGACGACACTGAAAAACTAATCAATTTTTTTTTTTTTTTTATAACTCAACAACTACTCTTCATTAGACCAAATCAAATTCTTACAAGATGGTCAAAAGACCTTCATACACGAAACTAACCACATAGCACAATAGAATACAGCTTAGAAACAAAGAACATATATATAATAGTCTTCTTCACTATTCTATATGGGGAGTTCGACCAAAAAAAGCACGAAATTTGCACGAATTGCCAAAAAAAACATGAACTCTTAGGCTCGCCAAAAAACACAAAAATTTCATTGACTTTAGAATTAAATAACAAAGTTTCCAACAATTTTAACAGAAAAAATTGATGTGTCGTTAAGTGAGAAACGACGTCGTTCGTTTTACATGAATTTGAAAAACAAATCATGTACACCCACAGATTCGAACCCAGGATGATTGGGTCAAATAGCAAGGCATTTTACCACTGGACTACTCGCACTTTCAATGTAATTAGTAACACATTTAATTTTATTTGGTACTGATTACATATAAAAATTGTCTAAATACTTAAAAAGATCTTTAAAATTCCAAAATAATAAAATAAAGAATCTTTTATAAAACTAATTTTGAAATTAAATTAAAAATAAAATTTTATTTTTTCTTTAAAAATTCAAAAATCTTCCAAAATATTAATTTTTAAAAACAATTGCTAAAAACTGAAATTACTTATAAACAAAAAAATACCCACATATTAAAATTAAATTAAAATTCTTAAAATAAATATTGTACCCAGTATGAGTGTGATTTTAATTTTGTCTAAAAACTTAAAAAGATCTTTAAAATTCCAAAAAGTTGAAGAAATAAAGATTTTTTATAAAATTAATTTTGAAATTGAAATAAAAAATAAAATTTTATTTTTTATTTTAAAAAATCAAAGTCTTCCAAAATTTTATTTTTTTTTCAAAATTCCAAAAAATTTAAAAATTCAAAGAAAATGCAAAAAATTAAGTTAAAATTATTAGATAAAAATTAAAATCACACTCATACTGGGTACAATATTTATTTTAAGCATTTTAATTTGATTTTGATATGTGGGTATTTTTTGTGTTTATAATTAATTTCAGTTTTTAGCATTTGTTTTTAAAAATGAATATTTTGGAAGACTTTTGATTTTTTAAAGAAAAATAAAATTTTATTTTTTTATTTTAATTTCAAAATTAATTTATAAAAAATCTTTATTTCTTCATCTTTTTGGAATTTTACAGATATTTTTAAGTTTTTAGACAATTTTTGATATTCAATCAGTACCAAATAAAATTAAATGTGTTAGTAATTACTTTGAAAGTGCCATTAGCCCAATGGTATAACGCCTTGCCATTTAATTCAATCAACCCGGGTTCGAATCCGCGGATGTACGTGTTTTTATTTTCGAATTCATGTAAAACGACGTCGTTTCATCTCATTTGAAAAAACGACGTCGTTTCACTTAACGACAACACTTAACGTTGCATTTAACGTTGTGCTGATATGGCCAGTCAATATTAAATTGCTTAATAAATCAACAAAAGTACATATTTTTTTGGCAAGGCTCGAGTACAGGTTTTTTTTGGCAATTCGTGCAAAGTTCGTGCTTTTTTTGGTCGAATTTCCATTCTATATGTAACTTTATTACCACTTTTTGGATAGTAAACCATTTCTACCTCTTCAATCCGCATTAATGAAGCAATTATCTCTTGGATTATTGGTTTCATCTTCGGCCACACCTCTTCTTCACCGTGTATCATTTTTATTAGAATCTGAGAGTCTGTTTCGAATGTAACTTTAGAATAACCAAATCTCGCAACTGTATGGATGGCCCATCTTAATGCCTCTGCTTCTGCTTCTAATGCAAACCCCATTGTGGGTATCTTCCATGCTCCTGTCCACAACAAATGTCCATTGTGATTACGCAAAATCCACCCCACTCCTCCACCTCCATTCTCCTGCTTCCATGATCTATCCGTGTTACATTTGAGACGTTGAACCGAAGGAGGAGTCCATCGCACAACATGTCCATCTGTTATGGGTATCTTAATCTCTAAATTTTTCATCTGTTCTCTATTTTTCCACTCGCTAGCATCATCCCTCGCCTTCTGGACTGTTATTGTGTCATGATAATCTTTATTCCTGAAAATAAGATCATTTCGGTTCTTCCATATTCTTCATAACAACCATATCTTCCTCCA